GATGTATAAATCCTGGCAATCCTCCTGCACTTAACAGCGTACACTATGTTACTCTGTTTGTGTCGGGGGACCCGATCCTTGGGGTGGACCAATTTTTGGCGCAGCGTGTTTTGGGGTTTAAAAGCCACAGAGACCCGGTGTTTCAAAAAAATGCGTCTCAACTGTTCCGATACTCCTGACACATATGCTTCATTTAATTGTATTCTTATAAACGACAATGCAAGTACTGAGTGATTTGTTTGATCAAGATGTCGATGAGCAAGAGGAAATGTCGCCGCCAAGAGTGCATTTCCTGACCAGGGTCACAAAGAGGTTGCTGTATCAGAAAAGTCCTTGTGACTTTACTTTGGTCGCAGGCAGATTGCCGTCGTTGCCTGTGCTGTATGTTGAAGACGCCGACTTGTCTGCAAACATTTACTCTACCATAGTAGTGATTCTGTATTGAATAGATCCAGTTTTAGCTCCCATCCCACTGGCCTGCCGTTGTCCCTGCCATTTAAAATCTTGCTTCCTACTCATTCATTTTTCTATCTTCACACCACTCCCCCATATTTTTAAAAGTATTACACACAAATAAGGAAATTGACTAATTAAGCTTTATTGTGCCCATTGTCTGAAACACTCACTGGTTCCCTAAACTAACCCTAAGTGGTCTGTAATTGTTGTTTTTAATAAATTGTTCTCCCAAGAAAATATTTATTCTGATACACACCAACAATTATTTTCCAAAATAATTTAAAAATAAAAATCATTTTAAAAACATAAATAACAAAATAATAATACGCAGAGAGTGAGAACATTGATGCCTGGTCTTTTTGTACTGTCGGGCCCTGTAACAAGCCTTAGCTGTGTTTAAGTTATACCCTCTCGGCTGCTCAGTGGGTCACTGTTGAAGCGCTTCATCTTTCTTTCTGCATAGACACTGACGAGTGTCAGATGGGGACGCACCGCTGTGGAGCGGGCCAGATCTGTCACAACCTCCCCGGCAGCTACCGCTGTGACTGCCAGACAGGCTACCAGTATAACGCCTTACGCAAAGCCTGCACTGGTACGTATCACTGTGTGACGTCTGCAAAGTGAAGATGTTCAGACTGAAGGTTCACTTTATCGAGCACTTTATGAAGCCAGAGAAGCTACGGGTGCAGACGTCCGCTCACTGAATCACAGTTTTTCTCTTATGATGTCAGATTTGACCAAATTGGGTTGGATAACACTTTCTACACTTTCAGCCTATCATTTGTAAAAAATACTTATTATTTGTGGATTTCAATTCTTGGACGAAACATAAAGCATATTTATTCCTGATATTCTCATAATTCTCATAATTATTAATTGTCAGCAGATTACACATGCAACCGTCCAGTCTCCAGGCAGATGTCAGCAAGCAGGCTTAAATGGTCTAAAGAGTACGAAAGCAGAACTTTTACACACTGTAATTTTACGAGAGCTGTGTATAAGCAAATCTCAATGAACTGAAGCAACGTCATAAAAAAGAATATGAGAGACTAATAAAGTGATGTAGAAAATGATTACTTGAAGTTATTGTTGTTAAAGATGGTTCTACAAGGTCCTGAATCATGTGATGTACTTAGTTTTTTACTCACCGTTTCTGCATTTTGCTCCATTTTTTGTTAAATAAATAATGACACGGTAAAATGAACGGGATTTTAAACTACATAACTGAAATTGAATTGATCTGAATTTAACTGAACAAATTGTGAAGAATTAGCCAATAATATTTAACATTGAGTGTTTATTTTAAGAAAGTCATTGTTACGACCCCGGACGAGCCCCCAAATCATGTTACGACCCGGCTCGAGATGACCGTAACAAGAGCGGGGTGTCCCGTGACTTCCCACGCCCAAACAGACACAGACACAGCATCGGACCTTTAACAATAATTTATTGACAGCAATGGCACTCACGGTAGTGGGAGTGTATGATTTCGGGGTGAGCTAAGGCCAACACAACAAACAAAACACAACCTAGGCTTCGGTTCTCCTCTGACCTGTTTACGGAAAAGAAAAGAAAGGAATAACACAGTCTGACCTCCCTGGTCTAAAAACACAGGAGAAAAGAAGGCTTCCCGAAATAATCGGCATCTCACCCCTACTTGCTCCGCACTTCACACACATGCCCGACCATTTAACCAAATAGCTATTGCTACGGCTGCTCCGTCTGGACCTGAGGCAAGTGCACGGGAAGTCTGCCACACCCCCCGCACCGCAGCTGTTCGGTCGCCCTTTTATAGTCCATGTCCACAGCAGGAACCAGTTACATCAGGCCGTTCCTTAGGTCCACCAATCACAGCCGAGCCCCTGCACAGGTGAATTTGCATACACACATTAAGAAACAGATAACCCACCAACACAGGCACGTAACAGTCATATTTAACTGGGTTTTATTTTTCAGGAAATTGGAGCGTATGCTGTAGTTACTTCAATGTTGACCTAATATGTTATTTTTTTAGTTTTTGTTGTCGTGTATTACAATTGTGTGTATTCCCATTCATCAAAAGTCCCACGCAATAGGTGTTTGGACAAACCTTAAGCTTCTGAGAGGCAGCCAATCAGAAGAAAGCTGGCTTAAAAGAGGGATGGCCTTCAAGGGAAGCTCATCGAGTATGTGTGTTGAGTCCTTGGTGGGCCTCAAGGCTATCTGCTGCCTAATAGCTCCTGTTTTTGTACTGACAGATGTAAATGAGTGCTGGCGCTATTCTGGCAGGCTGTGCGCCCAGAAGTGTGAAAACACCCCAGGCTCCTACCGCTGCTCATGCACAGCCGGCTTCTCCCTCGCATTCGACGGCAAGAACTGCGAAGGTAAGCTAGACAGTTTGTTCCTCTGACATATTGAAAATTTAAATGCCACCTCGTTTAGACAGACCGTCTTATTTTTCATGAAGAACTTAAATCACAGAGGCGAGCCTCCAGGGACAACATCAGCATCAAAAGGCAAAAGCAGTCTTTGCACAGACTTTGGAGATTAAGTATATTGATGAGAAACTGTTTATGTCTCCTTAGTAAGTCACTGTTATCAATAAAGACTATTTTCTGTTGGCATTTAATTCAGTCTCCATCTCTGGGATAAGAGTAATAATAATAGTTTCCTGGTTCAGGTGCTGTCAGTCGTCAGTGCTGGAGATGTGACTGCTTCAGAGAGCAAAGCCGATCATGAGTCACGTTATGTCCAGCTTGTCACAGACGTGACTGAAGGAACTTAATCCAGATGTAAATGTTTCTGTTCCAGAGGTGAAGCTTAGCGTTCATCGAGGTTCATGAGATAAACGCTTGTCTGAAGGATATCATTGGGTTTTGATTATCGATTTTAAGATTGATTTTTTTCAAGTTACTTGTCTTGAAAAAAGTGTCTTGGATAAATGACTGGAGCAGGTGTTTGGGGAGGCAGCAACATTACAACATATACATACAAATATTTGTTTTTCTATCTAACTCCTAACATACAGCTTGCATAAATATTTACACGTTTATGTCTAATTTTATGATTGTCTTTTTCTGTTTCTGTGCTCAGATACAAATGAGTGTGACCAAAGCCCTTGTAGCCAGGAGTGTGCCAACATCTATGGCTCATATCAGTGCTATTGTCGCCCAGGCTACTACCTGAAAGATGATGGGCACACCTGTGAAGGTATTTTCTTCCAAGGTTGCCAGTGTGGTAGAAACACTTCAGAGAGATCGATGGAGACTGCATACTGCTCTATTCCTACAGTTTATGTGATTTACAGTCAACACATTTAGACACATCTAATCAGATACATGTGTGAAATTTAACAAATAGTTGCCCACAAACACTTGTGATTTACTCAGTCAGAGAGTTGTGAACCTCAGCTGCATTTACTGAAGTGTTTCTATTATCCAAAACCATACACAGACTGCACTTACATATATAATACACTATAGCTGCATTATAGTGGTTTACGCAGTTGCTGGTTCAGGAAAGC